CATTCATTACGTTTTCCAACGTTTTTCATGAGAATGTGCACCTACTGTAAGTCCTTTTCCCACCGGCCTCGTATTACACAAACATAAGGTTTATTGTGAGGAATCGTTGCCGTTATTTTAGCTTATTTCTCATTTATCCCATTTCCAGCCTTTGTTTGAAGCTTTTTGACATTCCCCGCGCTACTTCGGCCACTTCGCCCGGCACCGGGGCCTCTGCTGCTCTCCGCTCCTTTGTGGTTCGTTCCAAGTCGGTCACTTCTGTGCGAGATACCTCTTCGACAGTCAATTGTATTCTTGCGGATCGCGGGGAGCGCCTAGACCTGGAGAACCTCCTGGTAGCGCTGTTGCGTCGAATGGCTGAATGTATCGAACGCACGGACCCTAAGGCACTGAATGATTTGATTCGCGCAGACGTCATTTGTTCGATTGTAGAGGTAATTTCATTAATGTTAATGAAATACCATTGTTACTTACAGTGTGTTAGTAGTAGTATCGTTTTATCCAACATTTAAACGTTCATTTGGACTCGCTGTACAAGGGTCACAGTCGGAAGCATGCAGTTTTTTGGATCCTTCTGAACCTGAACATCCTTTTAGGCTAGAATTGCATTCAATTCACATTAAATTATATATTTTTTCAAGTTGTCAGTTTTTCGTCTAATATTTTCGCAGCTCGGTTGCACATCCACGATAAGTAAGTCCCGCCTCACATTCAGCCGAAGCCTATGCTATTAGCCTGTCATTGACGCAGCTCTCTTTGCTCTATTCACACTGCTTACCTATGACCTTCATTTTTCAAAGACAGTTTTATGGAAATGTACGTTTTTTCACTGTTAACCGAACATTTTTGCAAAAAAAAGCAGTCCAAGGAAAGACGGTCTGATCACTGGCCCAAAAATGTATTGGCCTGACATTTCTGATTCTCACTGGAGCCGATCATCAGAGAGACAGTCGCAGATGAGGGTGGTGGGGGCTACCGTTGCTTACACCACAGTAACAGAAAACCCTACGTTTGTGTAATACGGGACCGGGGGCAAAAGGATTGGTCAAAGCAGAGCAAAGAAGAATGATAGAACGTGTAAAAGTACAAAAATACTAAGATGAATAATTATTTTAATAGTCGAATGTTTGGTGTGGGATGAATACTGATAAATGCAACCCATAGAAAATAAGAAATCCGCACCGTAGGCCTGCCTTCCTCTTACCCTAGTAGCAAATCCAAGTGGATTTCGTCTGCAAAAATCTGGATACGGCGATATGCCCGAACAGTGATCGTAACCTACAGGTTTTAATCTCCCGTGTTCCCCAGTACCTAAGTTTATTTACACGAAAGCCTTACCGCTAGGGATTTTTTTTCCAAAGCTCGCTTAATGGCGTTTTACAACGGTAGAAATGCATCGCATCCTAGTTGCATCTACCCATCGATATAGAGTACGCCCCAATTAGGCATCTCGTCAAAGCGTTTAAATGGAGCTGAAGTTGTGGTTTATTTTAGAAAAAGGAAGAAAAGTGAATCTTGTCCGTTCTATGCGTTTTCTGCCTCGGGGTTGGGCTGTGGGGTCACCTGGAAGGTCCAGCCGCAGATTCTGAGTGAATATTAAGGCGAAAATCTTACGAACCATCATCTTCCTGCATGGAGGAGTCTTTTTTCCCGCTCCTTTTTCGGGTGGCGTCGAGCGATCTTGTGCGCGGTCTCCTCTCGATGCGGTGTACGCATCTTTTGTGCAAGGGGTGAGGACGTTTGTCCCCCAACATATCTGCAATCACCCTATAGATTGGTGACCCATGAAGCCTATCCTTGCTCCTTTTCCTCACCCGAAGTTTACCTCCAGCGTTAACTTACCATGCCAACTTTCCGTCCCCCGAGGCAGGACAGGAAGGCGATCTGAAAGTGTACTGTGAGAACTAAGTACACCTTACCAACTGTTGACGATACTTCGGGTCATATTATTAATACTATGTATTAGCCGCGCAAACACAGAGTACTATACTTTGCAGTTTGCGCGACCACCGCCGGGGATCGTACATGCTGCGCTGATTAATCGATTACCATGCGATGGCACTCATTGCGCCTCAATTACTTTTATCTGCGACCTTCTCTGATGATGGTTTCTATTGAGACTCTGAAACCTCAGGCCAGTAAATCGTATGCTCCAGTCATCGTTCCTTCTTACACCGAATCAGTGCTATGTAAATTTCTCTTAACGTCAATTGAACAGGGTCCTAACAGCCGCAAAAGTCTCACTAAACACTTGTCTGGATTTTCATCTGGTATTTATGCGAACAGTTTTCTTAGTCCTCATCAACGCGTGCTTGTGTTTCCGAAATAAGTTTTTTTTAATTTGCATCCGTAGTAAATTTGTAACCCGTAACAGAAGTTGATACAATTCACAAATATGCTATGGTAATTACTGTTCCTTTCTCAGAGAGGCGATAGCCCGTGATAATTTCTGCGGAACGCTAGTGTGTTCGCCTAACTGGTAGCTCTAACGCTCTCCGCGCTACATCCTCACCCGTAAATTGTCGCTCCTTAGGTTGGCCGATGAGTTTGTTCCAAGTTTAATGTGCTTTGTTATGTTCACGTTTTTTTTTACCCCCCCCTACCCCATCACCAGGACCTTGTTTGCCAGTCCCAGTGTCCCGATGCTCCGTCTGATGGCCTCACTTGGAATAGTTCTACTGCACTTGGTCTGAAACGAAGTAGCGTCCTGCAAAGTCCCGCCACAAGCCCTCTCTTCCGCACCCACTCAACCTGCGAGAGAGAGATTTTGGGGGAACTGCTAACCCTGCAGGACTTTATCCTCCTTCCCTTGAGGGACCTCCTGTCTCGACCGTTCAATGCAGACGTGAGTATTCCTCCAGTCCCTTTCTATGCATTTCCGGCCTTCCCCCCCTCCATACTTCAGTCTCTTTAGAGGTTGCTGCACGTCCCACTTACGAGCCTGCCTGTCTGTCTGTTTATGGCAAAATCTGTCTGTCTTTCTACTTCGTTTTTGGACATCATTGTTGGCAGCAAGTAGACTCTTCCCAATTGCAGGCTCCTTAAAAAATACAGCCGGGAAGGGCATGTCAGCAGTCATTCAAGGACTCTGCGTTTTGTATTAGCAGTCCACGTTGTTGTAACTTGAGACACAGAGAGTTATTTTACCAAAGGCCGGTTTCAGGACTGGTAGCTGTTATGAACCGCGCCTGGTACTTCATTAACACGAATGTCGAACCAAAGAGCCCGTAAGATAGACGGAGAGAAGACCAGTCGGCCAGCGAGAGAGGGTTTACTTAGACGAGAGCACGTTGCAGCATGTCAGCGCAAGTCATTGAGTCTAAAAGGTACAACAAATTTAGGGCAACGAACAAGTGTAAGCAAGGTCCATGGAGCCAATCAGCTTTTGGCTAGCGGCGTGATT